ACGCCAAAGTACACTCTGTCGCAAAAGTCTGGTAACGGACACCAGCTGTGCCTTGTAAATTTGAAAAAGCGGCGACGTGTACAGTTTTCTCTCCACACGGCTAGGTAAGATAAAGCTGTCCCTGTGCTTAACTAATTAAACACTACGCCACGAAGGCGTATGGGGGAGTGAATGTGTAGATCCATATTTTCTTGACTTCGGCACTAGTTGGAAGCGAATGGTCAGCTTCAGGCCCCGGTCGCTTTACCTCCTCGGGAAAGGACCCCCTGTATCCATTGGATAGGAGGCTGGATGGGACCCAGATTCGGTCTGGAAGACGCGGAGAAGAGAAAATTTTTGAACCTACTGGGACTCTAACCGCCAGCCCTCAGTCGTCCAGCCTCTAGCCATTCGGTACACCGACGGTGGTATGCCGGTATGTGGTCTAGTCTGTATGTATTTATGTGCGGAATGTTGGAAGCAGAGTTCAATTACTGCCAGAACAAATGATTCCGTTCTGTTTTTGATGTCTGTCTAAGAACTATAATGCTTAAACATAAAGTGTGTGGGAACACCTTATGGAACCTACTTGTCATCAGATGGTGAGACTAGCAAGAATTACAAATTATCCCAATAACTATAAAATCAAACACCGGTAGCACACGCCTGAGCATTATTTCTGTTACCTAGTGCGGACTCCATCTACATTAAACTTGTCACAAATAACTTGAAAATTTCGTATCGCTGACAGATTTATAATTTTGACATCAAAAATATTTCGTGTAGAAGTGTATCTTTGTTTATGTTCTATCCCGATAAAAACGCTCACATGACAAACTCCAGTGATTCATTAGGACTTATCATCAAATGGAAATAGGCCTACTAGTATTTCTCTCGGTGTCAAAGTCATTCCCCTGTTGCAGTCTATAAGAATTCTCTTAATACAATTCTGCAATTTTTCAAGATTTAGTGTAATACTCAGCTTCAGACATTAAATAATGTGTGATTGTGTCTCTCCAAGACAGAAGTTCACCCAATTATAGTTTTTGTTAGGAAACTCTAAAAGTACGTACAAAGGCTGAATCCATTTTGGTTGCATTTCATTCGTCTAAAGTTAAAAAGAAAGAAAAACCCTATGTTTAATGTTTATCATGCAATGAAGACTTCGGGGTAGTGGGGGTATAGCTCCATCTTTCTTGACCTCGGCAATAGATGGATTTGAGTGGTTAGCTTCATGATTCGGCCGCTTTACCCTTGAGCAAAGAACACATATTACTTATCGGACAGGAGGCTTAATGGGTCCAAGAGTCGGTTTGAATACTGTGAAGAAGAGAATAATTTCTTTCCCTTGTCGAGGATTGAACCCTGGCCATCCAGCCCGTAGCCCATCGCTATACTGAATGAGCTTTCCCGGCTTCCCGAGTTTCGGTCATACCATTCAAGTCGATAATTTGGTTCAAAGTTATTAGGGAAGAAAACACACAGACAGGCAGGCAGACACAAGGACGTCATAACAGAAAGACTCTCTCCATGTAACACAAGCAAATTAGACAAACAAGAAATAATCACTTATATAATTTCAGGTTTGTGTAAATTATTTTATTACAAACCTGCGCTTTGTAGCGAGAATATGACAGAATTATGTCTATGTCCTACGCAGGAAAGAAGTTTGTGTCACACACTTAATGCTCGAATATTGTGTACTGCAATTTTGGCATTATAATAAGTAATTATTTCGTAAAGTAATTAATTAATTATGCTAGAGTCCATATAATGAAGTGAATGGTAGACTCCTAGTTATATTTTTGTCTGTGCGCCATACAATGCAATTTTTCCACACTTCGCGAGATAATAAATCCAGCCCTTCCAATTTCATCTTCCAACAAAACTTCTACTTCTTCAGAATGCATACGCTGCAGTAATTGTGCGCAGGACACCACGACGTCATATAACCCTTCTGGCTTGTAGGGTAGCACCTCAACCACTACGCTACCGCGTGCCCCCTCTTCAGATTGCATACGCTGCAGTAATTGTGCACAGGACACCACGACGTCATATAACCCTTCCGGTTTGTAGCGTAGCACCTCAACCACTACGCTACCGCGTGCCCCCTCTTCAGATTGCATACGCTGCAGTAATTGTGCACAGGACACCACGACGTCATATAACCCTTCCGGTTTGTAGCGTAGCACCTCAACCACTACGCTACCGCGTGCCCCCTCTTCAGATTGCATACGCTGCAGTAATTGTGCACAGGACACCACGACGTCATATAACCCTTCCGGTTTGTAGCGTAGCACCTCAACCACTACGCTACCGCGTGCCCCCTTCTTCAGATTGCATACGCTGCAGTAATTGTGCGCAGGACACTACGACATCACCTAACCCAAGAAACAATGTAATGAACCGGAGATGTATTGCTTACAGCACCCTCAATTGCCAGTTATACAAATAACTTTAATATGAGTCGTTCTATGAAGGAGGCCAAAGTGATACTTCAATTACAAATTAATATCTACTTTGCAGACATTGAATGGATGACAAATGTTACGAACATACTGGACAATACGTTAAGTAGACGTATAACAAATATTTTAGCTTAAATGATAGTACGACTCAATAGCGAATGAAGGAGACTGAGCATTTTGAGCATAGCAAGAAAAAGCACCACAATATAATACTCCAAGAATATGAAGAATATGAAGGTGGTAACACTGTAACTGGAAACTGTCTACTTTATAGTGTAAAGGACAATGCGTGGCAACTGTGATCATTTTAATTTTACAAGGCACATAAATGGAATATTTCTTTTCACGCAGTGAGAGGCGGGCAGAAATTCTAACACATAATTAATATCCTCGATATAAATATCCTGTAGTAACACATTTCGATATCTGACTCTCGAAATACAAGAACTTGTTCCCAGAATGGTTTTGGATTTTCGAAACACAAGGTGATGATATTAGTGTTGACTTACCAGTGGCTAAATATGTATTCTGTCTGCTACAGAATGTGAAGAATAGCAACAGAAACACGATTATTATTTCCTAGGTAGATAATTTCACTGACGAAACTTGAGGGAAGTCGAAGTTAAAACATCCAGGCGTTTCGTGTGAATTAAATTCACATTCCAAGGAACACAGATCGCACTAACAGCCAGCCTATATCTGCTCAACGTTACTCTCAGTGACTCTGTATTTTACAGCGTGCATTGCGTTTCGTTCAATGGATCAGTCTGAGAATCCTGATATTTATTTTCAGCTTCCTGTGAGCCAGAGGTTATGATAGTTCGATCAGGATAGAAACAAAATTCAATCAAACTTTATTGCAGGTTATTAATACCAAATGTTACTGAAATTCTTGAGGCCTTCAGAGATGAAACTTACAGGAGGACTCTTCTTCTCCACTGCATGAAACTTCAGTAACTTAAACAATTCTTAATTAGAACATAGCACAGACTTCAGAAGTTGAAGCGCGCTGTCGAATTTTTGTTGTTGTCTTTGCGTTAATTTATTTCACAGCTAGGGAAGTTACTTCATTACATATGAGACATTAATATGAAGGAAGATCAGAGTTTCTCCAATCGGATTAGAATTCGAGTGTCCCACTATTACTTGCGAAACAAACTGACTGGTTGTAGAGTAGGTAGCGAGAACTTGAGAGTCACTCAGATTATTATTATTAGAGGAGGTTGGTTTCCCCATGCACTTAGACCAGTTATTGGTCCATTGTGCGTCTCCCTTTAAGTTCTACTGTCGCCATACCCTACCGGTACCGGTGCGTGCTATCAGCCCCGTTCAGCCAATGAGGTCGGCCCTCGGTACCTGGTATTTCCCCCATCTACCAGAGGCATTGGAAACTACTTGGGCGGGAAATGTGTTGCCTAATTTTGCTCAGAGGTCTCCTAGAGACATGTGGATCTTTTACGTGCCGTAAATCTACGACACGGGACCCACGGTGGACTTGTTCCCTGAAGTTTTCCGCCCTTAAAAATTCCACGACCTCCGCCGGATTTCAACCCGCGTACCTTGACTCATGAGGTGGGAACGTTACCCCTAGAATACGGAGGCCGCTGAGTCACTCAGATACTTACCATCAAGTGGCTGAGATAGGAAGTTCAACATATGTGCAAGAAGAAAAAATTGTAATGATCGTGATACAAATCACCTGGCAGTGTGAAGAGGGTCAATCCTTTTCTAAATGACAGGTTTCCACGGTCCCTAGAAAATATGATGGTAGACATATGCAAATTGCCAATATGTAACGTACATACAGAATAGTCGATTAGGAATGACAGTAAAATTAATATGGAATAGTCCGTATACTGGTAGACCTCGAGCATGTGTATGAAAGATGTGCGACTAATATGAAATTCAGAACATTCTAGGCAAGAAACGCTCATAAGGAAATATGTCAATGTAGAAAGCTGTCTTCTGGGACGTGGCGCAGTGTAGATTTTGTGTGAACCGACGTTTCGGAGGAACGTATCGCCTGCATCTTCAGGGTAGAAAAATCCGCGAGTGAGGAACCAGCTTTAGTAGATGGCTGTAGCCACATCCCAGAAGACGGCCTTCTTCAATCACAGCCGTGAAAACCTCAAATCTTGTACGAAGTATGTCAAGTTGCGTGTTTCATGCAGCAGTACGGGTTACGTCCCACGTCTTATAGATCCCCGTGCTTTGGAAGATTTTTTATTTCTTCAGTTTTCATGAGCAAATTATCTGAAAAACTTATGTCTCCTTCTTCCACGATTTATTTTTCAAAATAACGACGCGAATATTGCACACCGCCTCCGCAACTCTTACAGCAGATGCGTGGAATGCTACGTGCAGAATCACGAACACTCATTTCCACTGCCGTGAGGCGCTTCGAAATCTTGTTATCGCAAAAGTGAGTTAAGCACAGAAACGCAAACATGCGTCGTAAGGCTCACTCGCCCTGCGCCTGGCTGCTGGCGCGGCGCTATGGACCAGCCACACGCTCTCAGTGTGGACCATTACGCGGTGCATGATGGTCACTCGGGCATGGGCGTGAAGTGCTTCCTAACTTACTCAGCTCCCAACTAGTGACCGTGAGAACATTGCCTCATTTTAGAGTTTGGAATTATGAAGGCTCGGTTTTAGAGATGCAACAACGCTTCATCAGCTATAAAGAGCAAAATGGCTTTACTAGTATGTGTTTGGTGTATTTTAATTCAAAACAAAACATATTTTTCTAATTTAAATGTGATGGCTTTTAACTACAATTGAAATCACAATGGAACTGAAGTCTATTTAGAACCCTACGAAATCCCAACTGATTACTCTTTATTGGGTGCTTCTTTGATTATCTTGGAGTTCTAACAACGATACGATGCAAAGACCGTAATTAGATGAGGAGCTACTGAACCCCCCTACACCTCGAACTCTTTCGAATGACACGATAAAATAAAAGGTGTACACGAAAAGATTTGCTTAAGGAAATAAACGGCGTTAAGTGGATACACGATATGTTGACAGCTACTTTCCAGTAACGAACTATTTGAAGTAATCTCCCGCACAAAAACATATCACGAAAAGAGTTACTACAAAAATCTATATCAAAAACCGCACAATTCTTCTTGCACAGATAAACGGTAAGACGAAACTTCTGTTTCACTGCTTCTAAAGTATAATATAGAGCTATTGCAGTACTTTAAATTATTCCAGATTTTGCGTGTTGAACTAGTATATAACGTTATATATTTAATAAAATTTTAATATGATTCGGTATTCGAATAATATGTTTTCATAGCGAAAATTTGATATTTATTATATTCCAATATTTCCACCACATATAACATGAAGTGACAAGATATATGCATAAATAAATTACATACGTAAATTATACACACACGAATGAGTACATGAGTATTTAAAATGGAAACAAAAATTTACAGGAATATTTTATACCGATTGGTCATTACCTCACTATTGAATATGTTGGCAGATAAATAGATGTCTTTGAAAATGGTAATCTCATTATAGGAATATACATGTTATTTAATTCTCACCCTTATTAAATGTATAGGAAGACACCGTGGACTTAGGAGTCTAGTGCCTGGATGACACATCGAATAAAAATGTGATGTGATAATTACTTGGCTTTATATAGCACGCGTAACCCGAATGATCTAAACATCTAACATAACTGAAAAACTAAAACAACGACAACGATGTTTAGTTTGTATCTGATTAATCTAATTTGTTAACAGTTTCAAATATCCAGTGCAGCCGAGTAGACTTTAAATCAGTTATGCATTAAATAATCTGTTGCTGTGTATACAGAACGAACAAATATCCAAAACACTCCTCTGTTTGATAGACTTCAGGTCTGGAGCGAATGATGTAAGTCTTGGTGCAATTTACTAAATAAAATTTACTTTCTTTATCCAAGGCACTGTACCGGAGATAGAGGGTGCGTCTGTAGATCCAAACTGAAAGCTGCGAAGACAAACGGCGATGCGTAACACAACAGACCTAATAACATCTAGTTTATTACATTTTCGACTTACCCAATTTATTGTTTTTAGTAGAAAACCGCGAAATAACAGAGCACTTCCCAGGCATGTGACTGACATATTGTAAATTATGCTCTATAGCTGATGAATGCATCGATAAAACTAACACTTAGGGTTTCACATGAGGGGCTGTAAGAACTGAGCTCGCATGAGTATTGTCTCCATGTAAAAAGAAAGGAACAATGGAGCAAAACGCAACAGAGGCTTGGTACAGTGAAGTGTCCACTCCGAACTACAGCACTCATTTGGACACTTATCAGATTGTGAAGGGCTTCTTGGACTCGCAATGGGTGTTGCAGGAAAACATCATTCTTGTGACACTTTACATTCCTCTACTGATTCTGGCCGCAGCCGCCAACGTACTCGTCATTGTTGTCGTCATAAAGTACCATTACATGAGGAGGTAAGTGCAAGAGAGATAAACATTTACCTAAAGGTCCGGTTTCAGGCGAGAAGACATACTTGGCTTGAAGATGGCGTAAGCACCACGCGTCAACAATGGAACCACTTCACTTCAATGTCATGTACAGAACTATTAGGCTTATTTTTTACTCTATCAATCGTCTGGTATATATAAGACAAAAAACACAACGTTTCGGAGACTAGGTCTGTCTCCGTCCTCAGGTGGATGGGGCAGGATAGATCTACTCAGTTGGGCCTGTTAGAAAGAGCTAGTCTCAATCCAATGGGCCCTACTGAGTAGGTCTATCCTGCCCTATCCACCTGAGGACAGAGACAGATCCAGTCTCCGAAACGTTGTGGTTTTTTTGTCTTATATATACCAGATGAAGGATAGAGTCCAAAATAAGCCTAATAGTTCTGTACGTCATGTTCAGTGTTTCAATGTTACTCTTAATAAATTAAATGCAGAATGGTCGTCAATTATCGAAATGGTTTAAGATTGCTGTTCTCTGGGATGTGGCGCCGTGCAGCGTATAAGATATTTACTGACTTTTGGAGGAACGTTCTGCCTCTGCCTTCAGGGTAGAATAGTGAAGGAAGAGTAATCCCACCCTTCCATTTTGGGGAGAGACGCAGCATGCTACTCTAAAACGGCGGTAAACATCTAAGACGGTGCACAGCGCCACAATCCAACACATCCCAGAAGAAAATAATCCTCATTGTTATCGCCTTGAGACTCACATCAAAATACAGATTGGCCCCCAAATTAGTTAACCTAACATATCCCTCGTATGAACTGAAGCGTTCAGATTTAAATCTGCTAATCATTTTGTAGAAATGTATCTTAGCGTTGCTAATTGTACACTGTGCATGGAGAATCTCATTTCGAATAGTTTTTATAGTTTAAGCAACAGAGGCATTTCTAATGTATTTCAGTGTACATTTCACTAACAAACTGACTGATTTTTGGGCCACTCTGTAGACGAGACAGATTTCTTTTATGTATATATTCTTTGCCTGGGAATATTAAGTCTCTTAGTATTTAGGCGGCAAATTTCTCATTGCATCAATATGGGATGATAAAGAAATAAATGAAAACGTTTGTTGGAATGAAAAATTGTAAAGGAAAATGAAGTACTCGGAGAAAACATGACCGAGTGTTATTTCGTCTATTACAAATCTCACACGAACTGGCCCTGGACTGAGATCCTATTGCCGCGGTCAGCAGCAACCGACCAGCCGCCTGATCTATGGCCCAGTAGGCTGAGAACAGACTTAATTTAGATGAACGGTTTGTTTACAAAATTAAGGAGTAGATGAAGGAGTGCTGTACAGAAACCGGTGAATATTATGTTTGATAATACATGGCTATATTGTGACGTGTATACCTAATGCTAGGCAACGACTCAGTAAACATATTCCCGAGGGAGCCAAGGCGCGCAACAATAGGACGTCTATTGCTAGGCAACGGATCAGTAAACACGCCTACAACAATACGGAACAATAGAAGACCGTGTTTTCCGTGGGGTTAGCCGGGAGGCAATGTAATGGGAAGTTACAAGGGAGCAGTTAGTTGTTAGAAGCTGAGAGAGGTCAGTTAAGGAAGAGTTTATTTCAGTTAGTTGTCAAAAATTGGGTCGAGTTCTGGAGATGACAGTCGAAGGTGATTAGGTGGAGCATGTGTGATTTGAAGTAACAGTAAGGCTGTTAAAAATTCTTTGCCAGGATACGATTAGTGAAGACGGAGAACCCAGCTGCCTGTGTAACGGTGAACCCTAAAGTGTGTAGAACAGCGATAGTGCTGTGTTACCTGTAGTCCTGAGTTCAATGAATAAGGTGTCAGTAAATCCATTCATCTAATCCAGAACCCGTCTGATAAAGTCATTCTCAAACAACCCTAAAACGTGACAATATATTTTGTCTTAATAGGAACTGAATTATTTAAGACCAAATGTTGTAAAATTTACCGGTTTGTGCAACAGTTTTTAATATGAACGAAATATTTACATCTTTCGGCCTGTAAGGGCCTTCATCAGAATGGGACAAACACTTGGTAGACGGCCCATCACACATGAATTTGCATACCAACAGTAAGGAAATACGAATTTCACAGGGTCCATGTAAGCAAACAGATTTTAGATTAAATTAAAATTGTTTGCTTTTTGACAGATTTTTTTAAACATACCAATGTTTTAAATCCATTTGCAACAACATATGCACGTCATAAAGTATTTCCTTTGAAGTGTTCATAGCCTTATGATGGTGGCCGATACCAGCACAAACATATAAATGTTTTAAAGCTCTTTCACTTGAAACTTATCTCTTTTATCCTATGTTACAAAGTGTAGCGGTTCAAGAAACGNATGATGGTGGCCGATACCAGCACAAACATATAAATGTTTTAAAGCTTAAGGTCTTTCATTCTGGTCCGTCACATNCGTCTCTCTTGAAAATAGTTGCGCCCGTAACGTAAATTAAGTTACTGTAGCACGAATTGACGTTCTCGCAACTGTGATGTGAAGAGTTGTACCTTTCGGGAAATAAAATTAATGTACAATTAATTTGTTTCTGGTGTCCATCATTCTGTTTCTATTTAAATAAAAAATAACATACCACGATAACAAACAGTTTAGATCTTATTTAAATTAGTATACTACTTTCGAAGTGATCCGACATTTCGGAAGAAAATATAGCCTCAGTCTTCAGGGTTAAAGCGAGAGGTCAGAATGAATATGGGAGCAATACTCGTCAATAATATTCGGGAGATCCCCGACAAGACTCTCGATTCAGGGACTGACTGAGGCTTCCCGGTGTATTTCTCAGTCCCACAGGACAAATGTTTGGATAAGTAAAAGAAAAAGTAAAGCTATCCCTGTAACAGGCCGTGAAGGCACATAGGGTTGTGAGTCGTTGAGGGTCCCAAACTATCTAGACAATCGGCTCAAAGATGGCGGTGAGGTTGTCAGCCTTCGGCGCCGGCCGCGCTTTACTCCCCAGGAAAATTATTTAGTTAATTCCTGGTACTCATTTCTGTTAGAGGCTGAGTAAACCCCTTAAAATATGGCAGTCCCGTTCCTCTCACACTCGTCACTCACAAATCCCCCTCTCATTCGGCATTACGCAATGAGACGCGAAGCTGTCCGTGTGCTTAAAGGGACATGGATGCATACCTTCACACATTCATACCCTGGCACTATAGTGATGTGAGCAGTCAGCTTCAAGCCGCGGCAGTTTCATTCCCGAGAAAGAAGTCGATACAGAAGAGAAAAATCTCTCTCCATCTCGGAGTTTAACCTCAATTTATCGAAAATCCAGCCCATTCCCTAACCCCTATATTAAGTAAGATATGCCGGCTCCATCGTTGCTGAAGTATGCGGTTGAAAAAGCGTTGTTACATAAATCAATACCCAATAAATACTCTTGTTTTCTTTCAACATTTCTTATATTCGCTTAGTGGTGGTGGAGTCCAACTGGGTCCACTCGGCACGGCGGGCACTGATTAGCCTATTGTAGCCTGCCCCGGGTGATTATGATGATGGAGAATTTGGTGGAATGAAGATTTGCAGGGGAAACCGAAGTACTCGGAGAAAACCTGCCTCAGCGCCACTTTGTCCACCACAAATCCCACTTGACCATACCCGGGATCGAATCCGGCCGCCGTGGTAGGAAGCCAGCGAGTAACCGCTTGAGCTACGGCGCGGCCATTGCTCTCGTTTCTCAGGATACTTTTTCATTTTTCGATACGTGATAAATAAATAGCCAGTCACGGTAGCCGAGCGGTCCAAGGCATGTACTGTCTTCGCTCGCTCGGAAGCCGGGATCGTGGGTTTCAGTTCCACTCAGGGCATGGATGTTTGATGTTTGATGCATGTGTGTGTGTGTGTGTGTGTGTGTGCGTGCGTGAGGAATAGGTAGAGGCCTTGCGACGAGTTGATTACCAGCCCAAGGAGTCCTACCGAATGTCTAAGATCTAGTAAACCGAAGTAGTTTCATGGAGGTGGGCCAAGGCCGAAAATTGAGGCTGTAGCACAAAAAAAGTAAAAGTTATGACTGAGACCGGAATAATAGAGTCATTTAAATGAGAATAGGCATATTCGAACAGATGACTCCTGCGTAAGAAACTGTCGTGATTATAGTGTTAAAACTTAATAGCTAGTTCTTATGTGTGAGATATCAACAGCATTTCAACAAGAGTGTATTGCACACAGAATTACTGGGTTTTTGGACTTTTTCCATCGTCCGGAATTCTAGGTAGTAGACACTCTAGGTAATAGTGGACATGGCGTTTCGGAAACTGGATCTGTTTCTGTCTTCAGGTGAGAAAGGAAGACACCTA